AGCAATAACCATTAAAATTTAAAGTACTCCAAGCTCATACTTTTTAATTCTTCAGTCTAAGAAAGTATCTGTAAGTATAAGCAATGCTTATAAAACAGAATTAAAAACTGAAAACAATCTACTTGTCCATAAACAGAGAAATAGGAAAATAAATCCTGTATAGTGCACGTATATAATGAAATACTCTTTAACAAAGAATGAGGTGGATTTATTACACTGAGATGGAATGTACTCCAGGATCTAATAAATAGACTAAAAGCCTCTGGCATTAAATGGCCTAGACTTGAACCATGGCTCCCCTACGACCTAACTGTGTAACCTGAGATACTTTTAGCTTTACTATGCCTGTTTCTTCATCAATAAAATAGGAATGCTAATATTTTAATAGTGCTCTTCTTAATGAGAAGAGGACTTCCTCAGAAGATGTAAGTAGTACTTAAAGCATACTGTCACTGTCACTGTCCCTGTCACTGTCCTCCCATTGTTCATCGATTTGCTCTAGCGGGCCCAGTAACATTGTTGTTACTGTGTTTGGCATGGTAGCTTGCCAGGCTTTGCCATGTGGGCAAGATACTCTCAGTAGCTTGCCGGGATCTCTGAGAGGGGCGGAGGAATTGAACTCAGGTCGGCTGCGGACAAGGCAAACGCCTTACCCGCTGTGCTATCGCTCCAGCCCTAAAGCACACTACATTGCCATATATATTTTTTTTTATTGAATCACAGTGAAATGCACAGTTACAAAGTTGTTCATGATTGGGTTTTGGTCATATAATGTTCCAACACCGGTCCCTTCAACCAGTGTACATTTCTCATCACCCAAGTCCCAACCCTCCCTCCAGCCACCCCATCCCAGCCTGCCTCTATGATTGCCATATAATTAAAACTAACATTTCCGAAGTGGAAAAAAAACTGCACACTCTACGAATTTAAACCATCTCCACTTCAGAGATTAATGGTAGTATGTATGAGTACACCAAAAAAAAGTAGAAACTTAATAGGGATCAGAAAGAGAGAGTACAGCGGGTAAGACCTTGCACATGGCCAACTTGGTTTGATCCTGGGTACCACATATGGTCTCCTGATCCTACCAGGAGTCACCTCTGAGCCAGGAATATTGCTCCATGGTTGGAAGCCTGCCTCATGAACTGGGGGGAAAGGCAGCTGGAATAAAGAAGGGATCACTGAGTCAATGATGGTTGAAGAGATCATTCAGGACGGGAGATGTGTGCTGAAAGTAGATAAAAGAGCAAACATGATAGCCTCTCAGTATCTGTACTGCAAACCATAATGCCCAAAAGTAGAGAGTATGAGGGAAAATGTCTGCTATAGAGGCAGGGGGAAGGATACTCATCTATTGGTGGTGGAAAATGTGCACTGGTGGAGGGATGGATGTTCGATCACTGTATGACTGAAACTCAAACATGAAAGGTTTTTAACTATCTCACAGTGATTCAAATTTTTTTTTTTAAGGAGTGATCCCTGAGAGGGCAGAGTCTGGCAAACTCCCCGTGGCATACCAAATATGCCAAATACCAGTAACAACGATGGGTGTCATTCTCCTAAAGAGCCTTGAATATAATCTCAGGGGTAGGATGAAAGAGATGTTACTGGAGCCTGCTCGAGGCAATCGACGAATAACAGGATGATGAAATGAAATGAAATGAAATGATCCCTGAGCAGAGCCAGGAGTAAGCCCTGGGCACAGCTGGGCGTAGCCTCAAAACAAACAAAATACATATATCTTATAGATGAGATTTTAGATTTCTGTTGTTTTGGCTTTCGATCTCTTCCCAGATCCATGTTAGGAAGTTGTTCCTAGCTTGGAGCTGAGACTATTCCCCACAGTGGTAAGGGAGTCATGTGTGGATGGAACCCAAACTTCCCATCTCCAATAAAAGGATTTAGGATGACAGTTTTAAAAAGAAAAAGTAAAATTAGAGCAAAAGGATCTAAGATACAGTTTATCCTGCATTTTTAAATATTTTACTTTTTTTAAATGTTTGTTGTATACAGTCTTTGAAAAAAAAAAATTTTTTTTTCAGTGCCAGAGATCAAATCCAAGCCTCACACATGTAAGGCAAGTGGTCCAACACAACGGCTACATCTCTGGTCTATGTAATCTTTGAATTCTCAAGATCAAATAACTAGAATTTATTTGGCTATGAAAATTAAACTGGAGGCAGAGATATTGCCAAGTAATATTCAGGATACCCAACGGGCCAACCAGGATGAACAATTCGATAGTCAGACGGGTAATCCAACAACTCGATAGTTAGATGGGTAGTCCATGGGTAATGCCACTCAGACCCAGCAGCACTAGGGTTCCATCTGACAGTGCTGAAGAGACTGAGGTCATGAGGTGCTAGAGACAGAATTCAGGCCTGAAATTGGGGATATGGCTCAAAAAGATCTGAAGTGCAATTTTTGTATGTCAGTGCCCTGAGTTCAATCCTCAGCACCACATGATCCTCAGTACCACCACTAACAAAAAAAGGAACAACAAAGAACTTAGGACTTGGTATATACATGGACCCCTAAAATTTTGTCTTGCATGCAGCCAACCCCAGTTCAATTCCCAGCTCTGCCTGTTCCTCTCCCACTCCAAGATTCTGAGCAGCAAGAAGTAGCCCCAGAGCATCACTGGGTGTGATCCGAACCCCTTCCCCCTGACCAAACACACACACAATTAGATACAAAAAAATTAAAAAGAAATTTTGCTTTTCAATTTGTACATAAATCAATTCTTAATCTACCAAATTGCCATGAAAAAACATTTTTAAAAAGTAAAAGTATGAACATAGATAACTTCTTCTAAAATGCACTTAAAGCAAGATTAAGTAAAAAACGAAACAGCTAAGGATTGGGAGATGGCCCAGAGAGCTGGAGAGCAGAAAGGCCCAGTTTTGATCATAAGTTAGAAAACATCTTTCCTACCACACAGACACAGACACAGACACACAGACCGAGACACACACACACAAACACACACACAAAGCAGCACTATCAGATGTGGCCCGAAAACAAAAAATAAATCAGCAGAACTCAGCAATAGTTTTGTTTTGCAGTGCTAAGCATCACTGAACCATCACACAATCCAAGACAAGTTCTCTATATTGAGCTATATACCTGGTCCTTGCAACAGCTTTAAGTTAGAGATTGAAGGATACGTAAAACAAAAGTGTTAAGTAACTATACAATCTCATCCAAAGAGAAAAACTATTATCCCCAAGATGAACTTCTAACACATGGACACAAGCACTCAAATATACCAAATTCTTTCTCCATTTGTAAAGACTGGGTGCAGTTTCTCGATTACTCTATTATTTAAAAATAAAGACTGCAATCTATGTAAATTAAATCTCAGTAGAATCACAGGATTTGAAAAAAAAAAAGGGAAATAAACCTGTACTAAGAATAGCAAGACTACAAGATTTCCTGAAGCTAGTTTTTCCTAGCCTCTTTCAAGTGCTTAGTCACTTCTGCCTATTTACCAAAAAAAAAAAAAACTTCAAATCTTAAAAGAAGCAGGGAATTTTGATTCCATGCTGTCATGTCACCTGTGCTGCCCTAGACATTTGTTTCCATGCAACTCAAGAGAAGGTGGCAGCCAATTAAGAATATCTACCATTCCAGAGGAGAACCAGAGGCCACTAGAGCACCATGTATTCTGTCTCTGTTCTAGTAACAAAGAGGGGTTTGTGGAAACCAAAGCTGTCTTCCCTGACACCAAATGCAGGTAAAAATTAAAATGTAGCATGAAAATGTGTTTTCTCTCTCTGATAAGCACACCAGAAATGCCTCCCTTTTCCTTTGGGGAACATGTATAGCAAACATATTCTTAAACAACTCCAGAAGCCTTTACTAACACAGCCTAAGTAACGCAACAAAACCTAAAACTAGAGGCCAGCAGACTTTGGAATGTACTTCCAAGAAAGTAACTAGCCGGTAAGTCCATTAGCATTGTTTCAGGTTCCTCAAAGGTAAGAGCAAGGTTTTCATGAATGGCTATTTTAAGAGACTCTTGGAGAAAGACAAGTTTTTAGGTGGCTACTATGTGCCCAGTGCTATATACATATCCCAATATTCTACTCACACTTAAAGATATTAAGCAGACACGCTGTTTATAGAAATACACTTAAAAAAAAAACTTTCTCAATCAGATGCAGTAGGGCCTTGACAAAGACCAAGTCTAATCATTCCAAACACAACCCCAGGTAGCAAATCTGGAAGAATGCAGTTCAATCTCTCAAGCAGAATTCAGACCCCTCCCAGAGGGTCACGCAGAAGTCTGGCAAACGCCTGGATTATTTAGGCCAGGACTCATTTTACTACCAGAAATAAAAATGTTATGGAAGACAAGCGCTTCCTTGACCTCAGCCTTTCCATCACACCCAAATACCCCCGCAGCCAGGGACATTATATGTATTTCTCTCTTCAGGCTGATACAAGGAATAGAACGCACGAATCGCGTCCTCTTCACGAGTGGCAACGCTCACAGCATTTTGTCGTCCAAAGGGGTCGAGCCATCTGCCGAGAGCCGCAGGCGAGGGATCCCGTGCCTCGTTCCCCCGGACGCCCAGGCCCCGCACTGGCCACTAAGCCGCTCTCCCCACCTGGGAGGCCGCTAAGTCCAGCTATTCGTGGGGACCAGTCATGACCCAATTGGCGCTGCCCACAAAACCGGGCGCAGAGCTCCGGGACACGGACCGGGGCGGAGACGGGGCGCACGCACCAACGCCTAAACCAAAATCGTCTTCTCCACCGCGGACGGCACACGCTCCCGGTTCTCGCCCTCCCCTCCCGGGCGGAAGCCACGTGCGGGGCCGCCGCCAGCGCGCTTCGCCCTCCGAGCTCCCGGCTCGGCCCTGCCCCCAGCGCCCCCTCCCCGCGGCGGCCGCCCGCGCGCCGGCCTCCGCCCGGCGGGTCCTCCCGGGAGCCGCGCGCGCCCTTCCCGCCGCCCGAGGCCGCGCCCGCCGCGCCTGCCATGGTGGGCGCCTCACCGTCAGGCTGAGGAGCCGGGCCCGGCTGCGCCATGACCAGGCGGCCCGCTCGGGGGCGAGGACGGGCGGAGAAGCGGCGACCGGGCTCCAGCGGACTCAGCTGGCGGAAGAGACGCCGACCGAGCCGCCGCCGCCGCCACCCAGGGAAGAACCGCTCAGGCTGGAGCCGTCGGCGCCGCCACAGCCGCGGGCAGAGACGGACCCGAGCGCCGACCTCCGCCTCCTCATCCTGACAGCGGGAAATAAGCAGTGCGCAAGCGCGGGGGGATGGGCGGCACGTGACGTCGCCCCGAGGGCAGGGGCGGGGCCTCGCCCGGCCCGAGCGCTGCGGGCGGGATCGGTGGGAGGAGCCGCGCGGGGCTGGGGGAGCGCTGCGGAGGGGCTGGGTCGGGGGTGGGGGGCCGCGGCGGCGGGAAAGCCCTGGCCTTCCGCAGAATAGCTCGGGGCGTTCCAGCCCAGCTCGCGGGCGGAGAAATAGAAGAGAAAGCCCGCAGGAGGAGGCCCGAGGGTGAATCTAGGGACAGTCCAGCCCGTGCGACCTTGGGCGAGTCATTTAACTCACTGGCCCTATGGACGTTCGTCTGCAAAATAGCTAAGAATCTCTTTTGCGAGAAAAGGGTAAGAAACTGTTTCCAATGTGACTTGAAAGTGACTGTGTGGATACTGGGCTTAGAGGCAGACACAGTTTCTGCAGTCTTGAGGAGGAAACGGTGATATGAAAGTGATTTGAAAGCTCTACTGTCCTTATACCTAGGTAAACGAGCTGCTGACCCTAAGCCCCATACTTTAGGAACTCAGGCCACACTCTTCCCAGCTCCAGAGTCCACTAGGGCGCAGGATGTGCCCACCTATATATACCCCTCAGTTCGGACTTAATTCTGGATGACCTGTGACCAGAATACCCTCCCAAATGCTCCCAAATAGGCCCTGGCCTATTCCTCGCATCCGTTCTCTCCAACCTAGAGTGTGGGCATCCTAAAACTAACCAAGGAGAAGCTGTGTTTGGAGGAGGTGCCATCGCACTTCAGCATTTAAGCTGCTCCCTCTGCAGACTGCTGATGCAGAACACAAGTTGGAAAAGAAGACACTGACAGTGGGTCAACAGTCCAGTCAAAGCAGAGGCTCCCCTCATTACTTCATGCAAAAGTATGAATCTGAGAAGTCCAAAAATTCAGTTTGAATTTTATCTTCCTTGTAATTAAAGATTAATATATTTGTCAAGATAGAGACATAGTATATTAAGGTTATCAGGGCTAGAGCTCTTGCTTTTAGGGGTCCAGATTTCTATTTCATCTTTGCATGGTCCCAGATAGCACTAAAGGCTATATATAGCCCAGCTTGCTAAGCAGTACTGCATTGCCTGTCAGAGCACAGAAAGCAGGGCTAATGAATGAGGACTCAGTCCTCCCCATCACCACACACACACTCACACACACACACACACACACACACACACACATACACACACACCAAACCAGTGATTGAAGTGATTTTTAATTTGGGACGGGGTTGGGTCTAGGACCCAAACCCAGAAGTGTTCAGGGGCCACTCCTAGCTCTGTGCTCAGAGTCACCCCTGGCAGTGCTTGGGTTGCCATATGCCATGCTAGGAATCTGACCACGATCAGTCACATGCAACCCAAGCACCTTAACACTTGAACTGTCTCTTCAGTCCTAGTTTATTTATATTTTGTTTGTTTGGGGGCCATACCTGGCTTTGCTGGGGTGTTGCTCCCAGCTCTACAGTCAGGGATCACTGCTGGTGGGCTCAAGGGACCTTTTGACGTGCCAGAGACCAAAGCTGGCTTAGCCACATGTGAAGAAAGCATCTCACCCATTGTACTATCTCTTCAACCCCCATTAGTTTTAGATAATTTAGATATATTGCATCCGTTTGTGCTTTGCCACTAATCCTGCTAACATTGGAAAGGGACTGTATACAGACTTGAGTTATTTTAGTAATAATAGCTTCCAGGGGCTGGAGCAATAGTACAGTGGGTAGGGTGTCTGCCTTGCATGAGACTGACTGGGTTCGATCCCCAGCATCCCATATAATCCCCTAAGCACTGCCTTGAGTAATTCCTGAGTGCAGAGCCAGGAGTAACCCCGGAGCATCACCAGGTATGACCCAAAAACCAATAATAATAATAATAATAATAATAGCACTGTACCACTGTAGCACTATCCTCCCATTGTTCATCTATTTGCTCTAGCGGGTACCAATAATGTCTCCATTGTGAGACTTGTTACTGTTTTTGGCATATCGAATATATCACCAGTAGCTTGCCAGGCTTTGCCGTGCAGGCAGGATACACTTGGTAGCTTGCCAGGCTCTCCAAGAGGAGCGGAGGAATCGAACCCCAATAAATAATAATAATAATAATAATAATAATAATAGCTTCCGAAAACCGGTATGTGTTTGAGAGAGCAAGCAGAATAGTTTTTATCTCTGGATGACTTTCCTGGGTCATACTTGGAAGTGAGACTTTCGTGGAGTGTAGTACAATACCTCCTCTGCTTTGTTGTGACGATTAACATGGGTTAGGAGTCATAAAGATAGTTGTAGAGAGGGCTCCTTCCAGTGAGTAAGAGGCACATTTATTGCCACTGATAAAATGGAGCTTGAAGGGCAATATTCAAATCCTGGGTTGGTTCTGAGTACCACCACCAGGTGTGGCCCAAACCACACACACACACACACACACACACACACACACACACACACACACCACTACCAAATAAATAAAAATTAAGTAAAAATGTTTAATTTTTTTTAATGGGGCTTAAAATCTGGCCCTTAGATCAAGGTTGCTGAAAAACAATCAGGATGCTGGTTTGGAATCTTAGGGCTCTCCCTGCCAAGAAAGTGGTAGAAAAAGCAAGTTTGAAACTAGGAGCATGCAAAATTGATATACATTTAGGGGGTTGAGAAGATGGCTCAAAGGTCTGGCGAGCATGCTTTGTACATAGGAGGCCTGGGTTCCATTCCTGATACTGTCCCCTGAGCACCACAGGGAATGTCCTCTGAACACTGAGCCAGGAGTAGCCCCCAATTACTCAAAAACAAAGCAGAAAAGTTATGTACTTTCTTGTATGCTTGCTTTTGGCACTATACCCGGCAGTTCTCAGGGCTTACTCCTGGCTTTTTCCTCAAGGATCACTCCTGGTGGGGCTCTGGGGACCATATAGGGTGATGGGGATTGGCTGAGTGGAAAGCAAGTATTCTACCTGCTGTAGTATCACTCCAGCTGCGTTTCCATTTTCATATTTTGTAGGCAACCCAAAGACCCAGAAATTATACTCCTAAGTATACATAGGCAACTATCGCCCAATCTGCCTATTGTCTGTCATCTACAAACTGTTCACTCGAGTCATCCTGAATAGGATTAGCAGAACACTAGATGAAGGACAACCATGTGAACAAGCCGGATTCCGAAAAGGATTCAATACCATCGACCATATCCACACGATTACTAAGCTCATTGAGGTTTCTCGGGAGTACAAGATGCCGCTCTGTCTAACGTTCATTGATTTAAAGAAGGCCTTTGATTCTGTTGAGACAGAAGCGGTCATGGAAGCCCTAGCCAATCAGGGCGTACAAACTCAATACATCAGGATCCTTCGTGAGCTCTATTGCGGATTCACTACCAAGATCTCACCATTCTACAAAGAAGTAATCATCCATATCAAGAGAGGGGTTCGGCAGGGTGATACCATTTCACCAAAGCTCTTCAGTGCCACCCTCGAGAACATCATGCAATGACTGGAATGGGAAAGCATGGGAGTGAAGATAGATGGTCGACAACTACACCACCCCCGCTTTGCTGATGACATCGTTCTAATAACACCAAACATCAGCCAAGCGGCACAAATGCTGAACGACTTTAACCGTGAATGTGGAAAGGTCGGACTACAGTTGAATCTTACGAAGACAATGTTTATGAGAAACAGCCTTGTTCCTGACACTCCATTCACTCTCCAGGAAACCACCATCTCTGAATGCAACAGTTATATATACCTAGGTCGAGAAATCAACATGATGAATGACCTGGCACCTGAGTTGCGCAGGAGGAAGAGAGCTGCTTGGAACGCCTTCAAGAACGTTGAAGAAATAACTAAAAGGACAAAGAACCTCCAGCTACGAGCACATCTCTTTGATTCCACTGTTCTTCCTGCATTAACATATGCCTCAGAGACCTGGACCCTACGAAAACAGGATGAGAACGCTATTCGGGTCTCTCAAAGAGGAATCGAAAGAGCTATGCTTGGAATATCACGATTCACTCAAATGAGAGATAGAATCCGGAGTTCTGATCTTCGTCAACGCTCAAGAATCAGGGACGCTGTCTCATTTGACAAGACATCAAAAATCAAATGGGCTGGACACGTAATGAGGTTTACAGACAACCGCTGGACTAGAGCCATTACTGATTGGATTCCACGGGACATCAAAAGATCATGTGGACGCCCACCTACAAGATGGTCAGACTTCTTCGTCAAGACCCTAAATGATCGGTTTGAGGCTCTGCATGTTCCTAGAACGAACAGATATCATTGGGCTACGCTAGCACGCAACCGGGATGAATGGAGACGTTACTGGCACCCGCTCGAGTAAATCGATGAATAACGGGGATTAAGTGATTAAGTATACAGTCTAAGGAAAATTAATATATGATCAAAAATTATTTCTGTTTTTGGGCCATACCCAGTGGTGCTTAGGGCTTCCTCCTGGCTCTATGCTCAGTGATCACTCCTGGCGGTAGATGGAGGATCATATATGCAGCCAGGGACAGAATCCAAATAGGATGAATGCAAGACAAGCACCCTACCTGCTGTACTATGGCTCTGGCCCCAAAATCTTTATTAAGTATAAAGATTAATAATTCTTAAATTCTGGAGGAAATTGGGGAATTTTTTTTTTTTTTTTTGCTTTTTGGGTCACACCTGGCGATGCTCAGGGGTTACTCCTGGCTTTGCACTCAGGAATCACTCCTGGCGGTGCTCTGGGGACCATATGGGATGCTGGGAATCGAACCCGGGTCGGCCGTGTGCAAAGCAAACATCCTACCTGCTGTGCTATTGCTCCAGCCCCAGGGAATTAAATTTAAACACATGAAATAATGTCATTTACAATGCATATGTGCCCCCAGGAGAAAACAACAAAAATATTCAAGTTTACTGTTCATAATATAATAAATAATAGCTAGAGTGTCCAACAGAATATATTTTTAAATATTTAATGAAATGC